AAAAAAAAAAAAAAAAAAAAAAAAAAAAAAAAAAAAAAAAAAAGAAGTACAGAATTAAACATCTCAAGATGGGTAAAAAAAAAAACAGGGAGGAAAGCTGAATAGCAAGGATAAAAGGAACCCGCATTTGTACACACATGTTTGTATCTTCTTAATTTTGAATCTCATGACAAAAAATATGAAACAATGACAAAAGGAAAAAAGGCAAAATATAAAGCAAATGACACCCACTGAATACCACTCTTCAGAGTGAACCCCATTAACAGTTTGTTGCATATCTTTCTGGGCCTTTTTTTCCTATTCACTTATATACATTTTAAAGTGTACATGTATATATAAATGTACATATAACTGAAGGTGCCAAAAACATGTATACACATTTTAAGAAAGGAAAAAACTATCAAAGTTGTAATGCTCAGTATATATCGATAACAAAAGATGAACACAAGTCACATTTGACTTCTGCAATTACAAGAGATGCTCAAAGTGGTTACCATCAGTGTCCAGATACTTCTGATTATGGCAAACAACTGCTACAGCAACACTGACCAGTGTCCACTTGCATACATTTTTTTGGCCTGCCATATATGGATCATACTAGAGTCAGTTTATTACTTATCAAAATTTACCTATGACCTATTGCTATTAGTATACATAGCTATATTTTATTAGTATATATGGTTTTGATGCTTTGTTCTTCAAGCATTAAATCTATTTCTTTCCAATATGTATTTCTAAAGATAAAAAACTATCCTTCTGCCATGGTCAGACATCTAGCACAGGGATCAGCAAACTTTTTCTGAAAAGGACCAGATAGTAAATACTTCAGGCTTTGTGAGCCAGACATTCTCTACTGCAACTATTCAATTTACTGCATTACCAAAGCAGCCATAAACAATATGTAAACAGTACATAAATAAATGGGCAGGGGTATGTTCTAATAAAAGTTCTTTACAAGAACAGGCAGTCATGTCAGATTTGACTGTGGGTCACATTTTTGCTGAGCCCTGATTTCCAATAACGTAAAAGAGTGGTCGTGATAAAAGCATCCTTATAATTACAAGGTTTCTAATGTTTTATCCTTAGGTCTGATATTTGCTTTCATTATCCATTGCATACATACCTTATAATCCTAATTAGCTAAGAGTTATCAGTATAGTTATTATATATAATAAATGTTTCAACAAATCTATTGAAATCATTTTTCTCCTTTAATCTGTTCATGTGTTGAATTACATAAATTGATTCTCTATTGTTTGAACCATTTGGCTATTCTTGGGACAAATCCTTTTTGGTTAGGATATAATGTTGACTTCAATAAGAAATATATATTTGGGGCCGGCCGAGTGGCGCGTTGGTTAACAGCTGGCTTGGGACGCCAGCTCTGAGCAGCAGGGGCCCAGTTCGGATCCCACATGAGGGCCAGTGACACTGCCCTCTACAGCTAAGTTGGTGAACAGCGGCTAGACCTGGAGCTGAGCTGCCATGAGTCACTGGCTACGGCGTAGGCTGCAGCCCCTACTGCAGTGGGCTGCCATAAGCTACAGTGAGCGGCCGACAGCCGGTGCGAGCTGCAAAGCGCCGCTGTGAGCAGCCGTCCAGAGGCCGGCAACTGATTTGCTTCACCCAGGAAGAGCGGGAAGAGCGCAATGATGGTGCCAACGTGGGCCAGTGAAGCAACGTCCTCCACAACTAGACTGAAGAGCAAAAGGACAGCAACTTGTCTGTTCCCCTTCCCCCAATTCCCCAATAAAATCTTAAAAAAAAAACAACGAAATATATATTTGGTCTTCAAACCCTTGGAATTCCCCAAGTGATAACAGCTAAAGTGATAAAGGGCCTTTTTTTATGTTAATGAGGTGACCTTTGAAAAGCCTTTATGCTACCTAAGGATACCCCTTGGTTGTGACTGTGTTTAGAGGGTTTTTTTTTTGGTTGATACTTTCAGTATCACCCCCCAACTCTAGGGAGAGATGAGGGGCTGGAGGTTGAATCAGTGGCCAATGATTTAATCAATCATGCCTAGGTAATGAAGCTTCGATAAAAATCCAAAAGGAGGGGAAGGAGGGGGTTCAGAGAGTTTCTGGGTTGAATATGTGGAGATTGGGGCGAGTAGTCCCTCAGAGCATCAAAGCTCCACGTCCTTTCCCCAAACCTTGCCCTCCGCCTCTCTTCCATCTGGCTGTTGCTAAGTTCTATCCTTTTATAATAAACCAGTGATCTAATGAGTACACAGGTTTCCTGAGGAAGGGGTGGTTGGAACCCCCAATCTACACTTGGTTGATCAAAAGCACAGGTAACAACTTGGGCTTGCCAAAAGCATCTGAAGTCTCGGCACCAGTCTTGTAGGACTGAGCCCGTAGTCTGTGGGATCTGATGGCATCACAGGGTAGACAGAGTCAGAATTGAGCTGAACTGCAGGACACCCAGGTGGTGTCCCAGAACTGCTTGGTGATGTGGAAAAACCTTCCCGCACACTGGAATTGGGTCCAAAGCCTAAACAGTTGGTGTTTGAAGTGGTATTTGCTAGACCGGTCCTAGCTCACAGAAACATTAGGTTTGGGAAGAGAAAGGATGAACGGGTGGGGATGAGGAACCTTTGATTCATGGGTGGCCACATGGTCACCTGTGATACAGAACAGCAGTTTGTGCTGCGATCAGGTCCTGAAGGTTAAAGTCACCAATGGAATTTAGAGATTGATCCTCCTCCTGGAGAGTAGGTTCACTGGTTATATAAGGAAATGCGAACTATTAGTAGTAAGAAAAAGGCAAAACATTCAATCCCTAGGTTCTTGTAACCTATAACAGCTAAACTAAAAGTCAGAGGGAATGCTGGGTTGGGCCGCGATGCTAGACCAAGCTCAGATACCGGTCTGAGCTTTAGCCACTTGCCTCAAAGCCACCCCCCAGGTAAAAATTGTACAGAAACAATAGACCTCTGGTCACTAAGGTAGTCAATGTGGAGGGAGGGCAAAACCAGGGAACTACTGAACCTAGCGGCTAGAACAGGAAGTTGTTCTTTCACTTTGTGCATTGGTACCATCTGCTTGCTGGGGAATCTTTACTAAGGTTATGAAAGCGACTGATTTAGGAGGAGTATCTTTGGTTTTGAATGCTGCAGAGACAAGAAACCTGACCAGCAATCCCTTGAGACAGTGGTTAGCCAGATTAATTAGGATAAAGATTGACCAAAGGGTCAAGATCCCTTGGCTCAATCCCTTGCAGGGGACACAAAGCCTTTTGCCACAATAGTGGGTAAAATGGTCAGAGGGCAGAGAAGTTTCCGGGACTCCTTGATACAGGTGTCCCCGAGCTGTGGTACCAAAATCCATTGGTAGAGCCGGGAATAGTGCTACAATTAAATAAAAATAACATGAATGGTTGATCAGATTATGAAAGTTTAAGCAGGTATTACATAAAGAAGTTATGCCTCCTTTACCTGAATGTTTTGTGGGAATAGATATGGCTGCTAGGGAATACTTTCCCTCCCTAGTATTATAAAACCAAACTCTGTTGATGAAGTACTAATGGAGACTACAGTTAGGAACACAAGAGTTGATGGAATTACTGTAGAAGTTTGCAGGACAACTGGTATGTTTCAGCAGGCTTGTTGTGAAATGGCTGCGTTTCTTTTATCTGATTTTATTTTGGAGATGGACACTGTATCTCACTGGGGTACATGTCCCCTACCTAGTACTGTGAAACAGAAGGCATGTAAATCTGCCCTTCAAGCACTGCTAATTAAACATGCTTTATGGGCATCAGTAAGACCCTCTGAGCCCACAGTGTAGTCCAGAAGCTGGAGTGCTGGGAGGGACACAATCTCCGTGCCACAGCCTTACGGGTAACATAGATTGGGGCTTTATGGCAACAATCTGTGAGTGCCTCCCAGCAATAACTACTGGACTTTGGACTAGAGAATTTCCATTGGAGGGGCATTTACTACCTTGCTGTTGGACATTATTGAAACCACTTCTGTGACTGAAGGACATAAACTGATCTTGAAACCTTGAAACTGACCCTGCCTAGGAGGATGCTGAAGAAACATGCTAACAGGGATGGCAGTGCCCAGAAGAGTTCTGTAATAATATGGAAATGTTTAATACAAGATCATGCTGCCGCGGAATGCAAGGAGGGGATACAAGCAGAGAGTCTCTTTTTCTCTAGGACCAACTGGAGCCACCTGAGGAGCTGCTGAACCTACTGCCATGCGGACAGTGCTTGGTTCACAGATGGCAGTTGCAAGGTGAATGGAACACCCCATTGGGAAGGCCACAACTCTGACTGAAGAAGGTAAAAACAAACCAGCTGGGTGGGCTGAAGTGCACGCTGTTTTCCCAGCAGTGCTAGAAGAATTGGACAGTGGTAAACTCTGCTGTGTTTTGGTTACTGCTCATGGGTAGCGGCCAATGGGTTGGCCGTATGGGAGCCTGGCTTACTGAGGGGACGGTCCAGGGGCTGAGGGAAAAGGCACTTGCTAGACTAGGGGTGCTGTTTGCAATCTAGCCCAGCCCAGTGGCCAAGCCTAATGTCCCTTCCAAAGATGGAAAAGTCAGGTATAGATGGAGAGAAGGAAAAACAGTAGCTGTGGGTAAAGCAATGAATAAAGAGTTTATGTAATGAGGGAAGTTGAATTATGCTAACAACTCAAAAGGCTCAGTGCAAGGGATATTATTGTCTCTTAGCTCGATTATACAGGCATACCTCATTTTATTGCACTTCACTGTACTCTGCTTCAGGTCTTTTTTTTTACAAATTGAAGGCCTGTGGCCACTCTATACCAAGCACCACTTTCCAACTGGCTCAGATGATGGTTAGCATTTTTTTTTTTAGCAATAAAGTAATTTTAAATTAAGCTATGTACATTGTTTGCATACCTAAACTACACTATAAACATTACTTTTATATGTACTGGGAAACCAAAAAATTCGTGTGACTCGCTTTACTGAAATATTCGCTTTACTCCGGTGGTCTGGAATGGGCCCCACCCTACCTCTGAAGTGTGCCTGCACCCGGTGCCTAAGAGGCTGAAGCCACTTCTGCTTTTGGAACCTGAACAGATCCAATAGAAGCCAGTGCACAAACCTGAGTGGCCTCTCCCTGGGAAGGCACTTTCTCGTAAATGGCCTGGCTAGCTATTAACGACTGAATGGGAAGCTAGTGCTGTGCCAGTATCTTCTGACCTTTATGATGCACTGTAAGAGATCTGTGTCTGAAGCCAGGAGGTGGATGGTAATTGTGTGCTTTATAAGAACATATATTTGGTCTTCATCCCAGTTTCTGGCACAGAGCTCCTAAAACTTGGAATTTCCTAAGTGATAAGAGCTATAAACGCATCTTGTTATGTTAATAAGGTGACTTTTGGAAAGCTTCATGAAGGTAATTAAGGTTGAATCATAGGAAACTGCTAATATTTGACTGTTTATGACTTCTGAGACAGCAGTATGGGTCAACCTAACTTTTATTCCTAAATCAACTGTGGCAATTTATACTTTCCTAGAAAACCAACCACACTAATTTTTCTAATTTATTGGTATAACGTTATGCATAATATTTGCTTACAATCTTTTTTTTTTTAAGTTTTTTTTTTTTTTTAATTGGGGAATTGAGGGATGGGAACAGCGCTGGGGAATTGGGGGAAGGGGAACAGCGCTGGGGAATTGAGGGAAGGGGAACAGACAAGTTGCTGTCCTTTTGTTCTTCAGCCTAGTTAGGAGGATGTTGCTTCACTGGCCCAAGTTGGCACCATCATTGCGTTCATCCCGGGCGAAACAGATCAGTTGCCGGCTTCTGGACGGCCGCTCACTGTGGCTGCTGGCTACACACGGTAGCCCATGGCAGCCCACTGCAGCAGAGGCTGCAGCCTACGCCGTTGCCGGTGACTCACGGCAGCCCAGCTCCGGTTGTACTGTTGTTCAGCATCTTAGCTGTAGAGGGCAGTGTCACTGGCCCTCATATGTGGGATCCGAACCAGGCCCTCTGGCGTCCCAAGCCAGCTTTTAACCAATGCACCACTCGGCCGGCCCTGCTTACAATCTTTTGATCACCTTCATATTAGAGTGAGCTTAACGTTAACATCTATAAAAATGCTTTCTTGAACTTCTGAAAAGAAATTGTGGTATAAATAAAATTCAATATAATTCCAAAATTCTAGGCATCAATTCTTAGTCCCCATCTAAATTGTAAACCCCTGAGAGCCACAAGTTGCTTTCAGGGACTCTATAAACACATATGCCAAATTTACATCTGAGTGTATCATGTATTTTCTTGGGAGAATACCCAATAGTTTCATCAGATTCTCAAATGCCCAAATTCCCAAAAACCTTTGAGACAGTTTTGAAATAACACTGGACAACTTACATAAGTACAAACATGATGAAAATTTTACAAAATGGAGGATAGAAAATCAGTCAACAAAAATACCACTTAGGAGTACAAGGATTTTGTTCAGGAAAGAATTAAAGGGAACATGTAAAAAAATAGAAGGAATCAAAATCATTAATACATTGATGCTTACAATCTTCTGCAAACAATGCAGACAGGTTAAAGACATGCCTTTCACTAAGGTTTCTAAACTTTTTTTTTTTTTTAAATATTTGTTTCTGCTTGTTACTAAATATGAACGAACTAAGAGAGGAAGATCAAGACAAAGAAAGAGGACATGAAAGTAACAGGAGAAATAAAATGGGGGGTAAAGAAGAAACTAAGTGAAAGGCGAACATAAAACCAGCAGAAGAGGTAAAAGTTTTTGATCTTAAGGTAAGAAAACAATTATAAAAACAAGAAAAAAGTGAGGAAAATAGTGACTAACCATGTATTATGGTTACTTTTCAAAGACAGCTGGGAAACAAAAATAGAGAGGTACTGAAACATGGAAGGAATAGGAACCTAAAAAGCAAAGAAAAAAGGCTATTTCCAACAAAAAACATAACCACATTTTTATTTTGAAGACAATACTGCAAGTTTCTCTGGAGCATAATGAAAAAAAAAAAAAAGATAACTAACCTGTTGTACGAATTCCGAAGGCACTGGTGTAGCTTGTGTAAATGTTTCTAGATGAATGCCATGGACAGGATCTTCAACTATCAAACAACCCACGTCAAACCATCTATAACAGAATATGAGTTACAAGTTATGTATGTACTAAGTCAAAGTTATAGTGAACAGACAAAAAGTCAAATTAAGTAATATCATTCAGATAAAACATGATCAGATTTCAAAAAGGAAATTTTTTTCTATTAAGTTTTTAAGAGGGCAATCCAGATAAACAATATATAAAATTATCCTGTTGGCTTAATCCCAAAAGGAGAAAAAGAATGGGAAATAACAAAGAAAAAAATGGAAAATTATTTATCATGGGAGTTCCTTTTCTTGCTAAGATGAGGGCAGAAGAATGGGAATGGGGTACTGAAATATGCAACAGAGAAGTTCACTCATTTGGGCATGCAAATAGCTTGTCATGAGTTAACATTTAAAATGTCACTTGAGAAAATATGGGAAATTTTATATTACCATCTCTATCATCAACATAGAGTCAACTAGCAAAGTTATTAGCAAATTAAAAAATAAGGTCATTTGGAGGCAATAAAACCTTTCCTGATTTCTGATAAATCCTTCTAATCACATTTTCTGAATTGTTCACAATGAATCAGTCTTTCAAAACATCTTCATGAAATAAAAAAACTTCTATTTAAAGATACTTGTAAATTACAAAAAGTGATACATTTTTAAATTGACAAGTGAAGTCAACTATAACCCCACCAGCATTTTATAGCTAACCGGAATCATAAAACTACCAGATGCCTTGAAATCCCGAACTTTAATAACAGGATATTTAGCAAGAAAATGTTCAGTGTCTGTTTAAAAAAATATGTAGATCTAATAAAGTCCAAGGAAATATAAAGTGCATTAGGAGACTTTAGATATTCAAAGAAGTATAAATAGAACGAACAAAAAAACAAGTATAAACAGAGTAACATAAACGCCCTTGCTGAGTATTAAAATGGCAGTTTGTAATATGTATATCTGTAGTATTCATAGCTGACAACTGTTTTAAATTAACATTAAATAGTATTTATTTTATTTGGTATATCCATCACTATTTTGCTAAATTTTATTTTGTATGATTTGTGTATAATGCAGATGGTAGAGAGTAACTGTAGTGACTCAGCTGTTAGGTATGGACTTCCTGAAAAGCAGATATTGATGGTAGATGTAAAGAGACTTTTGTGATGCCAGTGAATTCACTTTAGAAAACTTTAAGGTTCCCTTCAACTCAATTAACCTAAAACTGCAGTTATCTGTCATCCCCATCAAAATCTCTTCCATTTCTTTCACTACTAGTGCTGTTGGGTGAGGAAACTTTCAGTTTTCCTCCCGATCTTCAACTTCACCTCCCTCCCCACTTCAGGACAAGCGGTAATCCCCACTGACTGTGTTCAGGGATATCACCGAGGATCTCACTCCCTTTCCTCCTTCCCTCGCCACACACAGGGTTGGGGAAAGATGGACTTAATCAATCCTATAAGGAGGCCACTTTGACTTGAAAAAGGCTTAAGAAGAATAGCGGTTCCAAAATATTTAGATTTCAAGTGGCAGAAAAAGTTTCAAAAGAGAATCTGGGGAACTGATATAGGTGTGCCAATTTGTATTTTACAAAGATAAGCCACCTCCTATCACCAGTCAATTCACAAAAGAAAGGATATTTTAACACGCTTTAGCACCTTTAACATATAACCCCAAATTTTCCTATTTGATAGGTTCATGTCAGAATGTCACATTTTTCCATGTGTGTTACAGAGCATGCTCATTTTTCTCATGTAGCATGAGCTGATGATGCTACGTCACAGACAGCTAGCTAGTCCCACACTGGCTCTGCTCTTCGCTAGGGGCCAAACACATTTGGGATTTCTTCTTTTGGTTGACTTGCTCTTTCTGGATTGGTCTTTCCTTGCCTCAGTTATAAGCATTCATTTCCTTGAATTTTCTTCTGTGCCTTTAGTTCCCATAGGAACACTGTAGAGAGAAGTAGCCAAAGAAGGAAATATCAAGAATTTGGGTCCTGGCTTTGCTGTCTGTTCTCACGTACTCCCTCTGTCCCCTCTGTGTAACTTACTATCACAACCTTTCTGTCCTTTCTCTTCCCTAATCCATACTAGAAACCATCAACAGACTTCCTAATACTATTTACTATTCCTAATCTTCCTAATATGCTACTCTTCTGCTCAAAGGAATTTGGTAGGAAAAATACCCCATCTAGGTACGACAGGGCAATTTACGGCAGGCCAATGCTGCCAATGAAAAGCTGGATATCGTGTAGTGAAAGGTAACAAAGAGAAACAGAAGCAAGGAGGACAAAGGGAGTAACATTCCAGACAAGGAGGACCGTTCAAAGGTGAGCTGAAGATGTTTGGCTCACCCTGAGTGCAACTCAGCTTAGTCTGTATACTATACTACCCAGTTCCACACACCCACAACTCTCTTTATTAGAGGCAAGGGAGACTCTTCTCAAGATGACTGAGGACTCCATAGTTTCTTATAAACAATATCTGGCTTTCAAAGATTACTAGGCATTCAGAGAGCAACAGATCATCCAACCAAGAGGAAAGGCTAAAGGAGGCCCATATGTGACCCACACAGTGCAATTATAGTTACTCTAAAATCCTGTCTACTAACTCATGTATCCAAGAAAAGAGAGGTAAAAATAGTGAAAACAGATGAAAAGATACAGATATTCAACAGATAAACTGAATCTATTAAAAGAAAAGAATTCAATGTATGAGTGAACGGCCGGCTGGACACAGAAGGCAGGATTGTTGAACCTTAAAGACTGATGCATAGAAAATACTCAAACTGAAAAACAAAAACCAGAGGGGTAGGGGAAGCAGCGACAATGTGAGAAATGTTCACCCTTTGACAGTATGTCACAAGCATGTAATTAGTGTCCTAGAAAGAGAATGAAAGGAAAACAGGCTGTCTGTTGATGGTTTCTAGTATGGATTAAGGAGAGAGGATACAAC